AAAAAAAAAAGTACCTGTTGACAACAATAACTCCCAAGCAAAAGCTCGCAATGCACAAGACACAAACCCATCTTTTGGAGAAACCAACGGTTGCATTTCCACCGCCGCCGCCACCGCCACCGCCTTTGTTCGCCGCCTGTCTAACCCCGGCCACCACCAATCGCGTCATTTTTCCCCAAACCCAGAAAAAAAAATTTCAGTCTTTGCAAAAATAAATAAATAAATAATAAAATTATAGCTTTAAGCTGGCTCGTGAAGCATAAAGATTGATTCTTTTTAAGAAATCTTTTTTTTTTTTTCAAATTTATCAAAAGGTATGGGCAATTATTGAAACAATTCTTGACTCAAATTAACGAAACGGGGCTACACAAAAGGGCAATTGTTGGTAATGAAATGCCACCATCAATCAAGCAGCAAAGCTAGCTACAAGTTAATGCTGCTACTGTGCAGTACCTATTTGAAATACAAAAATTTAAAAAAAGGAAATACAAGAGAAAATTGGACTAGGTTGCAAATAAATTTGAAATTTATATGGACTCTGTGTCTCCTGAACGGCACTAAATTGAATTCATTTTTTGTTGCTCAGAGAAGACAAAAAGTCGCAACAGCTTTCTTGGCGTGATGTACTGTCACTGTAGTCTACTCCGTTGAGTATTTTACAAGCTTATCCCTGGTCCTTTGTAGGTGTCACCTTTTTTCGGGCTTTCGTAAATGGACCTAAAAATGCTGGTAAGCTCCGTTCTCAACCCCTCTTGGGTGATTCGTCATTGGAAGAGCAAACGTTCGTTCTCTGGATATCAATCTCGGGGTCTAAATCTTAGCTCTAGAATCAAAGCAATTCCCAACCCTCAGGGACTCTTCCACGTGCTACCCCTACTTGCTTCTCCTTCTAAGTCGATCCATATTTCATTTCTTGTAAACGAGCCGAGCCGAACCGAGCTCGAGCTGAAGGTGTTTGAGCTCGAGCTCGAGTTTTTAACGAGCCGAGCTCGGCTTGTCTCATTAAGTAAACGAGCCAAAAATCGAGATCGAGTTCGGCTCGTTAAGGCCTCGAGCTCGAGCCTTAACGAGCCGATCTCGAACTTTAACGAGTTGAACTATAAGAAATTACATATATTTAACTTTTCGAGCCTTATCGAGTCGAGCCGACTCGACTCGTTAACCAAACGAGCTTTAAATGAGTTCGAGCTCGACTCGTTAAGGCTTCGAACTCGAGTCGAACCGAGCCTTAACGAGCTGAGTTCAAGTCGAACCGAGCCAGACTCGTTTAACTTAACAGTACTAAGTCTCCCGCGTAAGGATTACAAAAATATAAAATTTTGGGTAAAAATGCACAAAATATATAACAATAGGTTGGATAATTTCTAAGAAAGATATACGGAGTTGAATCTCACCAAATTCGATATAAGAAGTTGTCAAATTGATAAAGGTCTTGTTTGTCATTAGTTGTTAGTTGTTAGTTGTTAGTCGTTAGCGCGGATTGTGTTGGTTATTTTGACCAGCAGATTGTGTCGGATTGTGTCAGCTGTTCTGACCAGCAAATTATATTTACGGTTTGTAAAATAGTATTTTGGTAAAATTAGTTGTTAATTTATAAAATTGTTTATAAGGACATTCATATGTTGTATCATCATCGTACTTATGTTAAAATTACTTAGAATATGAGTAATAATTATATTTTTAATATTATGTTAAGTAATTTCAAGTAATATAATAAATGTCTGTAAAAAAAAGTGTTTGGTAATTACACTTTAATATCATATGTTAATGTGTAAAATTACTCATTATATATTTTGATATTACATTTATATTGATTTGAAAATATATATTATTTTATTTTTAATATTTACTAAAAAATAACATAGCCAGCTATAATTTAAGCATAAAATAAAAGACATGCCTATTTGAAGATTTTGGACGTTGTGTCAATTCACCACCAATTAGGTAACTCTTCTTGATAAATAATTAGACATCAAAATTGAACGTGAAATTAGTTAAATAATTTATAACTGTATCATTCATTTTACTCATGATAAACTTATAAATTGTGATAGACTCATTATTTAATTTATGAATTTAAATATAACTTATAAAACGTGACAGACTATTATCTAACTTGTGATTTTAAATTTTACATACACACACAACCAATAAAATTTATTTGTATATGTGGCATGTGGACATAATCTAATCTATTACTATATAATTAGACAACCCACTTACTAAAAATAGTAAGTGTTTTAGTGGGTCCCTTATTATATTACTATTTATGGTTAGTTCTAATTTTTTATTATTTTATTAAACGTGCTTCAACCTCCGTTAATTATTAT